AAAAAAAGAAAAAAAAAAAAAAAAAAAAAAAAAAGAGGTAAACTAAGAGTGGATCAGAGCCACAAGGCACCAGCGTCCTTCAAGATGGGAACCAATTCACCTGAGATATGAGTAGCCATAACTCTCTCCAACCCTCCGAAAAACTTTCCGGCGAGGAACACGGCCGGAAACTGCAGAGTTTCGGCGTCGGAAACGGACAGGTGGCGAGCAACGGCGGTTTCGTGGTCCTCGTGGACCTCGTAGACGGGAGGGTTAACTCCCAGGCCCTGTAACAACCTCTTGACGACGTGGCACATGCAGCAGCCGCGCCTCCCGATGATCATGACCGCGTTCTCGGAAACCATTGCGGCGACGGTGGCGGGATCGACGCCATTGGAATCCGTGAGGGCGGCGGCGTGTGGGAGGTGGCGCGTGCAGGTGCGGTAGGGAATGGCTTGGTGCATGGTGGAGAGAGAAAGAAGAGAGAGATAGAGAGAGGGAGGGAGGATGAGCGGAGGGTAGAGAGGGGAATATAAGAAAATGGAGTGAGGACTGTAACGTCAACGGCAGTTACGCAAGGCTACGTCACCTCTGTTGTGGCTGACGTGGTGTTGCGTCACTCACGCGGTCAACACATTCCTGGAAGTTACACCCATTATCAAATTCTTCCTTAGATGCTCTATCTCTATGTCTTCTCTTGTCCCGTGCCAATTCACTGACCTTATTTCGTTTCTTTTTTTTTTTTTAAGACGCCACCTAGCTAACTTTCCTACAAAAGCAACATAGATGTCATTGATTTTAGAAGTGTATAAGGTTGAAATTTTATATATAAAAAAAAAATTAACACATAAAAGTTTTATAAATTTTAAAAAAATTTATAGAAACTTAATGACTTCTTTTTTTTTTTAAAGGATTTTGTAAGAATGTGATAATTTATGAATTTTTTTTAAGAGACTCTTTTAATCAAAAAGTTATAATGTGAATTTTAATATAGATTTATATTTTAAGAATTTATAAGATTTCAAAGAATTTTATTAGATTTAATCTTGAGATAGATAAATTTAATATTTTATATCTCAAAATCTCATCTCTTCTCAGCTCAAAATCAATTGTCTTTTTTGTACCTAACAACCTAAAAAACTTCATTAACTTAGGATCTTGTAATTATTTCAACCCAACTTGTTTTAATAACTTATTAGTTATGGTGGTCATCCCATAACTATTGTGATTTTGAGCCAATTGCACACACAAATTCATGTCTTTAAACTTTTCCACCAACTCTAATTCCTTCATCATCATGGCAGACATATGGATGAATTTCTTACTTAGAGCATTTGTCACTACATTGGCTTCCCATGGGTGATACATCAACTGAAAATCATAATTCTTCATAAATTTCATCCATCATTTCTGTCTTATGTTCAACTCCTTCTGATTAACACAAGTACTTTAAACTCTTATGATCACTGACGATATTGAATCTAACACCATACAAAAAGTGTATTCACTCTTCAAGGCAAAAACAATAGTTGTCAACTTCAAGTCACGAGTGGGGTAATTTCTCTCGAGTTAACCGCCTTGAAGCATAGGTAACTACTCTTATATTTTGCATCAACACACACCTTAATTCTTGACGAGAAGCATCACAATATACATCAAATGACTCATTGGGATCAGGCAGCACCGACATGGAATAAGTAGTCAACCTCTTATTTAACTTCTCAAAACTCTGTTCACATGCATCCATCCAAATGAAAGATCGATCCTTTATAATCAATTGGACTAGGAGCATTACTATCTTGGAAAATCCCTAATTAATGAACCTCCTATAGTAACATGCTAAACCCACAAAACTCCTAATGTTTGTGACAATCCTTAGACATTCCTATTGTAATATCGACTCCACCATAGTCAGATCCATTACAATCTCATTTGCTAAAATAACATATCCCAAAAACTTCACCTTTTCTAACCAAAATTCACACTTTGGAAACTTTGCATATAACTATTTTTCTCTTTCAACACCTCCAACACCAACCTCAAGTGTTCTCCATGCTCTTTCCGGAGAATTTGAACAAATAAGGATGTCATTAATGAACACCACCATAAGTTTATCTAAGAATGGTCGAAAAATCCTATTTATGTAATTTATAAATACTGCAGGGGCATTGGTCATCCCAAATGACATCACAACATACACATAATGATCATACATAGTATTGAAAATAGTTTTTGGTATGGGTGGAATTTATGTCATTAATCTTACACATTAAAGACAACGAATTTGCGAGAAACTAAGGAACAAACGCTTAGTCAATTATAAAGTTACCTTCATTTTGGTAGTGTTCACATGTGCATAATCGATTACATAGTTCACCATAAATTAATTTTATAAGATTAAAATAAAATAAATTAAAATATCAAATTACAAAAAAAATATAGTTATATCAATAAAAAAATAAATTAAAAACTTTCATTCACCATTACCATTGTAAACTCTTAGTTTTCTCTTCCCATTATTCAATCACTATATTTTATTATTATTATTATCATTATTATTTCATTGCAAAGTAAAGTTACAAAAAATTGATTGTTTGTTGAAAATTTACTGTGTTTGAAGGAGGAGATATCATAACCTATTTTTACTTTTCATTATTTACCTTTATCATTGGACAATCATTTTATTTTAATAGTATAACATGTCCTTATCATGTCACATTAGAGTCACTACAACAAAATATACTTTTAGTGGCATTTAATATAATTTTTAGTGGCAATAAAAATTGTTACAAGATCTTTTACCGGCATTTTCACATTAGTCATTCTATGCAGTGTCGCTAAAGCATTTAGCGGTATTTTTTATACACTAATTTAATGTTTTTTTATTATGCTTTTTCATTTTTCACAATAAATACATGTTAGTTGTAAGTGTAAATTAATTAAAAGTTAAGTGAGAGGAAATAGTATATGGAATTCAGTGAGCAAACTATATATCTTTCTTCAGTCTTCCCATGGCCACTGCCCCACTACCCTAAATATAAAAGCAAAAGGACTGGAACAATTATTTTTCATGTTCTTCGTCAAACTTTGAAGAACTACAATTAGAACCCAACTTTGAATTGTCAGCATTTAGAAAGAGAAAAGGCTTTCAAAGATTTTTATTATCAAAGAACATTCAATACCAAACTTGGTTTTGTCTTCCTCTCCACACTGTTCCATAAACACCCAACATGTAAAAAATAACACAAATTTACAAACATGTTCACTTTTCTTGGTCAAGATTCAACCACGTGAAACTATTATGGCAACCTTTCTCTATTCTTCAAACATCGTATGTGTATATAGTTGTGTACTCCACTTATACTTTTATTTAAAAACTCCAATCTTAACACCTCTTTCCAGCACGAGAAGGATTAAAAATTGTAGAGAATAATGTATTGGTTGGGTGGCCAATCCGCAAATGCAACATGTCATTTTATGAAATATTAAAAATGTCATAAATTGATTTTAAATAGAATATCATGAAAGTAAAAGTCCTATAAAGGTCAAAGACTTAACGGGCACCAAACAATTGATATAAAAAATAAAATAAAATAGGCAAATAATTAAAAAAAAAGAAGAAGAAACAAATGAAAGTGGGGTGAAAAGTCAGAATCAAAGACTGGTATAGGACTTCTAGTAACTGTGGGACCCACCTTTTTTAATCCACACCCGCTCTCATCGGATGGTGACGTCATACACGTCGGAATTCTTCCAAATATTCCATAAAGATTACGTCATATTAAGAGAAAATGACGGCCTTGATGACGTCATTGCCAAATGTGAATGGGCCTGGCATATGCTGACCTGTCATGCCCCCTTGCTTTTGCCATTGATTTCCCCACTAATTACAAACTTACCCCTCCCAATTTTATGATATTTTTCAGCAACACTTTGTAGAAATAAATTCATATAGCTTCAAGTTCTTTTAATTAAAAAAGGTTATATGAACTTCACTCTCTAAAAATAAGTTCTTCCTTAAAGAAAATGTTATCAAACTTAATTTTAATTCAATATAACTTTCAAATATTGAAAAATTCAAATTAAGAATAATTAAAGTCAAGTTTTACCTTATAAATTAAATTGATGTTGTCAAATGAAGTCCCGAGTATATTAGTGATATGCTTGTTTTTGTTATTGTTAAGATAGTGTTTTAGTAATTTTATGCTAATAATAAATATATTTAAATGACTCAATTATGTTTTTGCTTAGAATTATTGCACTATTACCATATGTCAAGTGGAAATGTTGTGGACATGATATGTGTTGTAGATAAAATTCTTTCTGTCATTTTATTCAAATTGCTTATTAGTTAAAAACCTCTTTCACACTAGTTAGTCTCTGATATATTTGATTCTTTTCCCATTTAGTTACTACAAAAAGGAAATGATTTGCATCTTTCCATATTCTGTCCCTCGCTTTTCCCGTAAATGAAAAGATATTTTTCCTAATTAGAAAAAAGATCATTACAGTTTAAAATGAACCACAAAGTGAAGTTCCGTATTAATTACTACTTCTATTTTTTTAATAGTCCTTTAAATTGTTATACACAATCCAAAAAAACATAACAATCTTTTTTTATTTTTTATACACTAATTTAATGTTTTTTTATTATGCTTTTTCATTTTTCACAATAAATACATGTTAGTTGTAAGTGTAAATTAATTAAAAGTTAAGTGAGAGGAAATAGTATAACTGAAAAAACAATAATTAATGTAGTATTAAATTTTAAAATACTTTTATTAAATAATAAAATAAAGACAATTAATTTATTTTTGATAAATAATTATCGGTAAAAATAAATTTTGTTGTAGTGAGTACGTAATGTATCACTAATATTTTTACTGTTAAATGATAAATGTAAAGATTGATTTGTCATTTTTTTTTCTCTGACCTTTATTGTCGGTGTAAATTGCATTTCACATCATTGAAAGAACTCATGGTTCCAAATTACAATTTGCCTCGAGCAAATTTAGGTCTTGGATTAACTTACTTGATAGTGATTTTTGTATAATGGTGAAAGGAGAAAAAACCTCATATCCCAGTAAAAATGTCTCAAGTGTTGATAAAATTAACTTTTTAGTTTTAATTATTTAACATTTTTAATTAAAAATAAAATAAACTAAAAACATTGTCCATTTCCCAATTATTAATTGATTTTTTGCTGGGTTTGTTAATATTGTGTGCATGATATTTACTTCTATAATTTTTATTTTATATTAAAGATTATTTTAGATTAAAATTTATTCTAAATTAAATTTTTAAAAAAAATCAGGGTTGATGAATCGAACTATAATGGGTCAGACCGACTAAAAAATTTAAACAAACTCAATAAATACACTAAAAAAAAAGGGACTAAAATGGATGAGACCAAAATAGATTGAGTGGATCCGTTTTTACGGTGGCAATGTCATGTTTAACTCAATTTGACCATAAGACTTGGTTTTTCTGGCAACAATTACTAAAATATTTTTTGAGAAAAAAAGTGGGTGAAT